AGTCCATTAATAATGTTTTCTTATTATTAAGTCCCTAACTCAACTTATATGCTCTAGGAAATTTTGGGATATTACATAATCCCCGTTAATTGTTGGTCATTAGTGCACGAACAGTATTTGTGAACAGTTCCGTGAACGGTACCCGTGAACAGTACATATGAACAGTAACTGATATTTCCATAATTCAACTACAGCCAACTAAAAGACCAGAAAAATGGATATTTCATTAGATTTTTTCAGAGCAAAAACGGACTGAAAAGGAGCAGAAAACAATAGCAAATTGCAGACTTTGCTACGTGAGCAGTAACTGGTACGCGTGAACAGTGCCTCCACTTTCAAAATTCACAAAACAATGGCTAATCTCACGGGATTTTCTCCAAAAATCTCACAGCAATCAACTCAAGCAATTTACACTTACATTAAACAAAAACCCACTTAAAGCTACCGAAATTCCTCCATTTCTTTCAACAGATTTTTGGACAATGCAAGGGCAGCCACTACATGGATAAATTCAATAACTAATGGATGATTTTAGGCTCAAAGGGGGCTGTCACATACCATAAATCCAGCAAAAATCGGAGCTGTGGCTTGGGGAGGGCCGGCGGCAATTTGCAGGGGACTCACGGGCTACCAAAAATTGAAGGAACCAAGAGTAATTAAGGTAAACCCAAGGCAATTCAAAGCTAAAGAAGGGAGATTCATGGCTATTTCTTACCAAAAACTGGAAATTCCACACCTCCACACACGGCAGAGCAGTGGACGGAAGAAGCAGAATAGGGCAGATCCGGAAGCTTTCCTGCAGGGGGAAAGATTTCAAGGCTCCAATCTTGTTCTTGAACAAGAAAAGAAGGATAAAATCAAGCTTCTTACTGGTTTCTCTCAAAGGGATGGGTGCTGTCGGCTTGGTTCTTGTTCGGCTGCAGGGGGAAGAAAAAGGAGAGCAGAACACACGGGCTGGGAAGAAGAGGAGGAAAAAGAAGAAAAGAAATAACTCATCCTTATCCAAATTTCCCTCTTTAAGTCCCTCAAGTTCTGAAATTTTGGCTATTAAGCCTACAACAATATTTTTCCTCACACAAAGGTCCTTAACTTAGTTGCTAGAATTCTCGAAAATTTGGGATATTACACTTTGGCTTTCATCCAATTTATAATATATATTGTTAGAAGTTATTCTATAAAATCTCTTTTCGATCTCGATTATACTCTTCATGTCAATTTTAATGATGATCAACATTAAAAACAATTAAAAATAATAATATATACTCATCATGAAATAGTAATATCAAAAGTATAAAATCATAAAAACCTATATCAAATTAATGAGATACGTTCTAACCTTAATTGATTAAATTAGTTTATAATAAAAATATTAGAATATGAAATAATGGTTATGAATTAAGAATTCATGCCAAAATAAAGAATAAACTCAAGGAAAACAAAATTTAATTTAAGAATATTGACTTCCTTCATCACTTAATTTAAAGATGCTAATTTGTTTTTAATTTTTTATTGTTGACAAATTTTTACAACCTATAACTTGGTCTCTAAGTGTTTTCTCAAAAATCCTTAGTTGGCCATAACCACGTGAGCTTGGGGTGTAAGGCATGCCACTTGCTTTGTCTAAAAACAAGAAAATAGGATTTTCTAGATGACCCTTCTCCTTTCCAATGGTCAACCTCCAAAAGGATGGTTGGAAAGAACGTCTATAAAATAAACTGCACTCTAGACGATGTTGTAAAATAGAAGGTGGAGTTCTGCAAAATGGGTTACTAATTGCCTTGGACACTTCCAAGGACTTTACAACCATTAAAGTGTAATAAAAGCTATAAATCCTCAAAAAAATGCAATATCCTATGTCAATTAATCTAACATGAAATAAATAAAAAAGAATACGCTCCCACAAAAATAATCTCATAGAGAACAGACTGTGCAGGATTATAGACATTAATTTTAACTTCACGATCCATAACAATTAAACTAATTACTCGTAGATTTAAAATAAAAATAATTGAACTACTTGACAACTAAAACTAAAGGAGAATCTACGAAACAAGCAAAGTCTGGAAACTTGTTAAATTAAATATTAATCTAGAAATTAAAATTAGACAAACTGTAAGTCTAGCAGTTGCGTAGAAACAAATGAAAGAAGGCAAAAAGCATTCAACCTATTTACATAAACAAATAACAAACACAAATCCATGAGAGAGAAAAACTAATCAAATCAATAGGGTAGACCTATTTACAAGGCTGAATTGCTTCTAAATCCTTAAAAACTAATCAAAGTTGTAACCTTTGAGGTAAAATATGAACAAGAATAAATCTTGCAACCTAATCTAGAAATTATGATGAAATCTGGAAGAAATAGTCTAAAAGTTGAAAAAAACATATGCGTTGGGCAATTTTTATAGGGTAGGCCGTCTGTTCTGATTTCTTCTTCTTGTTTTCCTTTTCTTCGATGTTGGGAACCTTCCTCCATATTTTTGACCCTCTCCCACCATGACCGAGTAGTGGGGACTCCACATCTGGGTAGTTTTCCTTGTCTAGCGACTAACAATTTTAGCCTAATTTAAATTCTGATAAAACCCTAGAAATAATCTTCTCCTAAAAACACTTAACTTCCTAATTTAAATCAAATTCAACACTAGAAAAGCCACCTTATCATTTGCCATATAAAATATGGCTCCCTTTAAAGTCCACTTGGGCCATATAATTTTAAGTTGGTCTAACCCAATTAAGCCTGCTGACTCTCCTTAATAATTGGAATTCAACTTGACACGTGACCTTACCCCATTGGTTTTATTTTAGGTGTAAACGATGCCCCCCAACACTTGGTTTTATGGAAATAAATCCAAGTGTTTAAATTTTGAAATATTTCTTCTAGAACTCCAAAGGCCATGTGCAAGATCTACTAAATTCCAGGATGATTGCAACAAGTATTTCTAACATTTTCACAAGTAACTCTTTTTGGGCTCATGTAGCCACCCATAACCAATCATGTTCTCTTGATCAATCTTGCTCTCATTCAAAGTGAAATAAATGAAAGAAACCCAATTTAAGTGTGCACAAAAAGAAGCATGAACCTAGTTTAGACAGCTTCTTAGGACTCCATTCCTTTTGCCTCCCAGACTGTGGGGTAATAAGGCTTGAGATAAATTCCATTGATTTTTGTAAGATGAAGCTCTCCATCAAGTGACTCTAACCAATAAGCTCCCTCTCTCAACATCTCATGAATTTGGAATGGTCCTTCCCAATTCGGAGACCACTTCCCAAACCTGTGATCTTTCTTTCCAAGAGGTAAAATTACTTTCCAGACCAAGTCACCAACTGCTAGTTTTTTACTTTTCACCCTTTTGTTGTAAGACTTTGCAAATTTTGAGCCTTTGAGCTTGCAATCTATCTAATGCTATTAAACGTGTATCTTCAAGGTCCTTAAGCTCAAGCATCATGGCCTCGTCATGTTCCCCATACTAGAGATTATGTTGAATTGCTATTTTTAAAGATTTGCTTGTTAACTCCATTGGTAAGACAATATTGTGGCCATATGTCAAAGCAAAAGAAGCCATTTTGCTTGAACTCCTTGTGAAGTTCTATAAGCCCACAATGTTTTAAACAACAATTTGTGCCAGCATTTGGGTTGTCATCCACCATTTTTTCAAGCAGATTAATCACCACCTTGTTGGAAGCCTCAGCTTGCCCATTAGCTTGTGTATAATGTGGAGTAGAATTAAGCAAATGGAAACCCATTTTCTTTGCAAACACCTCCACCTAATGGCTAACAAAAATTGTGCCTTGGTCTATAGTAATTGTTTCTGGTAGACCAAACCTGTGAATGATGTCCTCTTTGATAAACTTGATTACATCAGATTGATCTACCTTTTTCATTGGTTTAGCCTTCACTCATTTAATAAAATAATCTATGGCTACTGTGATAAATAAATGACCGTTTGATGAAGGAGGGTACACCTTACCAATCAAGTCAATGACCCAACCTCGAAATGGCCATGGCTTCACAATTGGATTGAGTTTTGAGGCTGGAACTCTTTGAAGTGGCCAATGAACTTGACAAGATTTGCAACCCTTAGCATAAGCAATACAATCTTTCAAGATAGAAAGCCAAAAGGAACCATGTTTATGAATCAGCTAGCACATCTTGATCCCAACTTGATGTGCACCATATATTGCATTATGGACATCAGACAACATTTGGAAACTTTCATCTAGACTTAGACAGCACAGCAACAGTTCGTCATGGCCTCTCCTATAAAGCACGTCCTTAATCAAGACATAATTGAAAGCTTGCATCTTGGTTTTCCTAGACACCTTAACGCCCTGATCTTTAAGGTATTGAATAATTGAAAAGCGCTAGTCTGTTTGGGTAACATCAATTTTGTAGGTTGAAACTGTCATGCCACGTTGATGAATTGATGGTAGATTGTGCTTTTCAACTATTACAACTTTGGTTTTCCTATAAAGCACATCCTCAATCAAGACATAATTGAAAGCTTGCATCTTGGTTTTCCTAGACATCTTAATGCCCTGATCTTTAAGGTATTGAATAATTGAAAGCGCTAGTCTATTTGGGTAACATCAATGCTGTAGGTTGAAACTGTCATGCCACGTTGATGAATTGATGGTAGACTGCACTTTTCGACTATTACAACTTTCTGTATCACACCTTCAGGAATTTGTAGACTTGAAGCAATTTGGGTCATTTTATTGGCTTCGTAATTCCGGTCTCTAGGCACATGTTTGATGGACACATCATCAAATTCTTCCAGCAATTGCGTAGCTAAGGCAAAATAAGGAGCCAAAGCAAGGCTGGTACATTTATACTCATTAAACAACTGCTTCAAAATTAATTGCAAATCCTTTATAACCTCAATCATGGATACCTTAAGCTTTACCAGCATCTCAAGGCTAATAATTAAGGCTTTGTATTCTGCTTGATTATTTGTGCAATTAAAATCTAGTTGGAAGGACATTTGTGTTTTTAGCCCAAATGGGGAGATTATCATGACCCTAGCTCCAAACATCGTTTCTGTACTAGAACCATCAAAAATAAGTTTTCAAGGAACTAAACTTGTTGAGAACAAGTTAATCCCTTTTTCTTCATCAACTTCCACTTCCAGACATGGATGATCTACAAGAAAGTCTGTTAATGCTTGCCCTTTGACAACCTTCTGTGGTATGTATTTTAGATTAAATTCAGATAAGGCTAGAATCCATTTACCTATTCGGCCCCTTAATAAAGGGTGGGACAACATATATTTGACTGTCAATCTTAGCAACCATATAAACCTCGGAATAAATCAAATAATGTTTTAGCTTTATTGCATCAAAAAAGAGAGCAAGACACAACTTTTTGACCGAAGAATATTTCACTTTGGTCTAGGTCAAAGAACGACTCAAGTAATACATAGCTTGCTCCTGTTTTCTATCATTTCTTACGTCAGCAGACATCCTATTGACTCATCTACGGTGGATATATACAAAATTAAAGCTTTACTTTTCATAGGCAGTACAAGTATTAGTAGTCTAGATAAGTCCCACTTTATTGCATCAAAGGCATATTGGTGTTGTTTTTCCCACTTAAACTCTGCCTTAGACTTGAGTTTCAATAGATGGGAAAAAAACTCTAATTTTCTTAGCCAAGTCAGAAATGAAACGTCTTAAGAAATTGACTTGGCAAAAAAATCTTTGCAACTCCTTGTTTTGTGGTGGTTGAGCCTCAATCACAGCCCTGGCTTTGTTTCTGTCAACCTCCAACCACGCTCATGCACCAAGTACCCAAGGAAATTACCTGTAGACACTCCGAAAGCACACTTCATTTGGTTCATTTTCAGGCCATGCTGTCTCATCTACTCAAAAGCCTTCCTCAAATGGATCAGGTGGTCTTCTTCCTCGTGTGACTTCACCACAACATCATCAATGTAGATTTCCATGAATTTACCAATCATATCATGAAAAATTGCATTCATGGCTTTTTGATGGGTGGCTCCAGCATTCTTCAAACCAAATGGCATCACAGTCCACTCAAAAGTCCCAACATAATCAAGGCATTGAAAGGCTATCTTTAGAATGTTTACTTATGCAATGAAAATTTGGTTATACCCACTATGGGCATCCATGAAAGATACAATTTTGTGATGGGTTACTCCATCAACTAGTAAGTCTGCAATTGGCATTGGACACTCATCTTTTGGTGTAACTAAGTTCAAGTTTCTAAAATCAACGCAGACTCTTAATTTTCCATTCTTTTTCAGCACCGGCACCATATTTGGCAACCATTCTACATATTTGCATGTCCTGATAAGTTCATCCTTTACCAACTGCTCAATTTCTTTTTTTACCTTCAAGGTGACCTCTGTAGACATGCATCTAGGCGATTGTTTATACAACCTAAATCCTTCTGTACTTGCAGTTTATGTTCTACCAACTTACAATCTAGACTTGGCATTTCTAAGTAATCCCAACCAAAACAGTCTTTATATTCATGCAAAAGTTTGACAATTTGATCTCATGTCTGTGGCTGAAGGGAGCCATTGATAAATGTCACCTTTGCCTCACTTTCAAACCCAAGATTAATCTCCTTCAGTGGGTCCTAAACTTCAACTTGCAGATCATCTAGTTTTACTGGGGCAAGATCCAGTTCCTCCAAGGTTATTCGTCATCCTGGTGTGCTTC